GGGGGGGCAGGATGGGGGGCGGGAGGGATTCACAGCGAATCCTCTTCATCTCGACTCCACCACCTTCTTTGCTCTATACGTGTGACTTTATTTATTTCTACGGACGCTTGCCACGACAAATATACCAGGGTGGTCCAAAAAACGAATGAAAGCCGACCTATACCGGGCCGCAACTTCATTTACACCTATTCAGGGGGAGCCTGGTGGTCGAGAAAGAGGGAGACCTTAGATTTACGAGCTACCTCATCTCACCTAACTCTCCTCCTCCTCATCTTCACTATAAAATCGAGATCTCAGCGTTCTTTCGTTATCGCCACACGCTCCAACACCATTTTACCACAAACTATCGGCTAATTTTTGAGTGAAATAATTGTATTCTTGAAGAATCGAAACGATTAACTCCCGATTGGCTATTGAAATTATTGAAATTATTGAAATTATTGAAATTATTGAAGGAGATAAAATGGACGCACCTGGGGCGTGCAGTTTTATCGGGGCTCGTGCCTGTAGATGATTTCACGCTCGATATCCTGGCCCACCCAATCTGCCCGGCATTCATCATCCTCCGAAATGATGGGAAAGTTGAATTTCTCTCTCATTGGGCTGTGACAACGTCATGCATATTTATTTGAATTAATCTTCTTCGACGATGAGGTTGAGGGAGGGAGGAAGGGGTGGGGAATTGACAGATCTTGGAATCCGATTAAAAATTTCACGCTTCAACGTTGAGAATTTTTTTCAAAACCTCTCTGGTTGTACCCTCTCCTCGTTGTCCCCACCTTTCTTTATATATATTTGTCCTCGTCCCAGACACCGATCTTGGAATCGATGGCAGACAAGCGAGAAGAGAGCACCTCCGGTGAAGTTTGAGAGCGCGGTAGGTAGGTATAACGGGTCGCTTATAAAATTCGTTACGGTTTCCGGACGAGAAGTATGAATGTATGGTTTATACCAAGGGGTCCCAGGACTGTGTTGGTCTGGAGAAAGAATTTTTCTTTTATTTTTTACAATTTTTTCTCATCTCCATTGGGTAGTGCATGAGGGATCAGGGGGAGAGAAAATTTCTCACTGTTTTCCAACAATCGATATGGCCATCATCACCTTGAGGAAGCCATTTTTCAGTGGTCCCTATATCATTCACTCGAGATCTCCAATTTTTCTGTCCGATTGACGACTCTCTTCTCTTTTTTTGTTAATTTATACGTCAAGCCGAGCTTTCGAGCTCCACCTACCGCTTGCATTTTTTTTTTTTGTTATCTTCATTTTTTTTTCTTTGGGTGTTTCTTTTTAGAGGAAAATTCCTTTGTACGCATACCCGGAGGCCAATTTGCGAGCGCGCGTGTGGTCCGAGGTGGAAACACCAGTCATTTACTCCTCTCTGACTCCACGCCATCCTCGGGCCCCCTCCAAGCTTCTTTATCATCCTGCGGTTTTTATCCCCCTCGCGGGTTCTCGAGTTATTATTATTGAGATATATCGTCGAAATGCTGGAGTGACGTTATCGGAAATCGGGAGTGCACGTTTTGACGGATCGATGATGTATATCGTCTGCAGGGGGGACCCAACACCCTCCGACGATGAGCCATCTGGTTCACTCTCTCCACTCTCTCAGGATGCCTTCAATTATTTATTAATAAATCCAGTTAAAATAGACGCAAATAGAAGTCTATTTTCTCATCCAAAAAATATATTATAATATATTTTCATTTATACCACATGCGCCAATAGCGATTATGTTCTTGTTTTTTTTTTATAATTAAATGCAATTGATTAAATTGTATGAATTTTTTTTTTGTGGAGAGGAAATAAAATGGCGAGTTGACCCGACTGATGTTTTCTGGGTCGCGCAGTGAATCTCGCGGTGTCTTCGCCATCATGAAAGATGTGTACATTATCCTTCGTTACTTCCTTTCCCTCACATTTGGTCGTCACGTTTAAGAGCCCCAGCCACATTTTCAAAGCACCTCGTACCTTTGTGTTTAATACCCTCCCCCTCGGTAATTTTTTTTTTTTCTCACCCATACAGGTAAAAGGGAGGGAGAAAAATGAGGCAGCTTTTTGAAGGGAAGAGCATGAAGGCGATTCCTGGTGAGCCACAGCTTCTGGTGGTGCCACACGAGATGGCCAGCCTGTGCGGACATTCCTCGTGTAATTGCCTTGGATTTTGTTTGCTGACAATAAACTGCTTCCCCACGGTAAATACTTTCGTCTGCCTCTCTCGTATCCACCTCTTCATTCTTACCTGGTCGTCCGTTTATTTTTTTTTCTCTTTATTTATCTTTTTTTTTAAACATTTTCTTGCGCACCTTGTTCAACCCCCGGCGAATCTACACCGTCCTTCTCTCGGGGATGTGGTCCATCACCGAAGACACGATCCTCTCGCGGGGATCTCGGTGTACCGGTCCATAAAACTTCATCGCTCCGTGTTTTTTTCAAAATTTTTTTTTTCACTTCCTACCCGCAGATAAATGAATCCACTCCACAAGGGAAAAAGTAATTGCCCATCATTGCGGGGAATTAGTTGGACTGAAATTTTTTGGGGTGAGGATTATTTGAATATCGAAAATCCGCGTGGGAATCCCCAGGAGTTCCTGGACCAAAACGATAAAAAAACAAAACTCGAAATACTTCTATAAAATTCATAATTGACGAATCAGTTAGTGACCAGTTAAGTATTCACATTGAAAATTACAATTCATTACTGAAATTAATATTGAAAGTAATTACCAATTGAGGCGACTCCATTGCGATTGAAATTTCTATCATCCAGAGTTCACCTGCATTTAAGCTGAAGCATAACCAGGCAAGAGCGAGTAGACAGAATTGATAAAAAAGTAAAAATGTATAACCGCGGGGGG